ATTTGTTTGGGAGTGTACTGAGCCATAAGGAAAATAATTGATAAAGGGGCTTACCTTATTTAATTTTTCAGAAAATTATTTATGCCCTTCCTGAGCCATATAAATTCAGCATTACAAATATACTCCTGGTGTAACCCCCCCCCCCCCCCCAAAAAAAAAAAAAAAAAAAAAGAAAAGAAAAAGTTGTAATGGTACTCTTAAGATTCATTTGGATGAATAACTTAGAAGGACAGGATACGAGGAGTTTTTATCCCTCAATAAAATACTTATCTAGTTAAGCTTATTAATCATCGTAGTAATAATATATGTAGTCTTGATCTATAGTTTGCAATATGGTTTTCATAGAGGGACACACTTACAGATCATGTGTTGTGCTGAATTGACCTCTGTTTGTTGTTATTATTGATGTATAATGATGTCGAGTCAAAGAAAATTTGGTGATATCCGTTAGGCCATCGGTATGTTTAATTTAATATTATGTATTCTGGTAGTCTTCCTCCTAATGTTGTTTCTTCTAAATTCCATTGCCTCAATGCAGAATCCCGATCCCTCAGTTTTCCAACCCAATAAAATAAATAAACAAATAAATAAAAAGAAGAAGAAGAAAAAACTAAAGAAATAAAAAGTCTAGCATATGATATCATCTCTTTATCACAAACACTTGCTGATTCCCTATTGTCTTGACTAACTAAGATTAATGTCCTTCTGATTTGGGTTGGTATAGTCTATTAACTTCTCTTCCGTTGCAAAGAAAAACTTACCCCTGTTATTCTGCTCTTGAATTAGAAATGCATTCGGTGTTTATGGGTATGATTTGCTTATTGGGGTAGATATTCCTCCATTATGCGTGCGTACGTCTTGTATTAAAATTTTGTTTTTTGCATGCAGGCCCTGGTTTGAGAAAACAACACCCACAAGCTTCCTGCTGATCAACGCTGCAGACGTGAGAATCTTTCCTATTTGCATGCCGGTCTTGCCATCATAAGATTTCGAATTGCTAAGCAATGACCTTCTTCTTTTCTTTTCTTTTTTTTATTGGAATTTTTGCAGGGCACCAGGCAAAAAACCCAAGAAGTGAGCAAAATAGAAGAAGCTGTTAACTACTACCAGTAGAGCTGTTGAGTGTCTTTTTTGATGTCCGTGAATTGTTTTTGTTAAAACTATGTTATTTCAGAAGCTTAATTTTGTAGTTCGTTTCTATGTTACGGTATTTGCTACATCTTAGTTTTCTGTATGCCCATTTATTTCATGTGATGTGATGGAATTGTGTAGTGTTTCTTAATATTGATGACTGGAGCTAATTACTAGGTCAGTGCTTATTGATTAGCTCCTTCATTTCCATTGACGTAGGAATTGGCTCTTCACCTTGCTGAATGAGACGAAGGGGGCCAAAAAAAAAAAGAAGAAATCTGGCAAATATGATGTAATTGCAAGGGTTTGACCTTGAAATGCTGTAATTTTGAGATTCTTGATTGTAATTTTACATCATATAATCTGTAGCAATGATTTCTTAGGGTTCTAATTGGTAGGAAGATCCAAAGCAAGTACTACAAACCAGCAAAACGGAGATTACTTGTTCAAAGATTTTGGGATCACTAATTTAACTAAAAATCATCAATTTGAGGCTGATGTACGAACTTCAGGGTCCCTCTCTGTAACAAAATGTAATCAACCCAGTTTTAAATGAATATTTACATATTTTAAATTAGGGAAAAATGCTTCCAGCCCCCAAAACTAATGAAAACAAGCTTCCCCCTCCCAAGACTTTTTCAACGCTCTCAAAACCCCCAAATTCGTAACAAATATGCACTGAGCCCCCAAAACACAAAGACCAAGAGTATTAAAATTTGAAGACCATAATACCCTTTCTCTCTCTCTTTTTCTTTCTTTATCTGTGATGATTTGAAAGGGTTCCTCCGTCCCTTTCCCCGATGGCGGCCGTCATCATGTCCCTCAGCAGGGTCCCCACCTCCGCGATGAGATTGCCCCCTCTGCCGTCAACCTCGCCGTCACGAGCATCGCCCCGCGCACCGGTATCCTCCCAGGATCCACATCAGCCTCCCCAACCTGGGCCCCACCATAGTAAAGCTGGAGAGAACGAAGCATAGTTAGGGTTTTTGATGAGGAGGTCGAGGGTCATGTTGAGCTCCACGCGGATGGCCGGGAACGTGACACGTGGAGAGACGCCGGTGACGGCGAGGATGAGCAGGAGGAGGTGATGAGCAAGAGGAGGATGACGAAGTTTACGGCGGCGGTCGTGGTGCATGTGCGTCGGATTTTCAAAACCTGGATTTTGTTTTAGGTGGTGGGCACTTGCTGTGATTTCGTGGCTTCCTCGGTTCGTTTTGAGATTGAGGAGGTGCAAGAAGGAAGTGGGTCATGTTAGTGATTTTAATATTTTTTTTATTTTTTGAAGGGTTAATTGAGGAGGTGGAAGAAGGAAGTGGGTCCTGTTAGTGATTTTAATCTTGTTTTTTTTGTTTTTTGAAGGGTTAATTGTTGGTAATTTTCTTTTTTCTTACTGATTTTTTGTAAGATTCGGAAACATATATAACAATATATTTTTAGAAAATGAATATTTCACTTTTAATTTTTAGGGAAATTATAATAATATTTCACTTTTAATGAGATTTTCAAAAGCCAAGTGATTTACGCGTTGGTTGTGAAGGTTACGCGTCGCTTGTTAAGGTTACGTGTTGCTTGTTAAGGTTACGTGTTGGTTGTTAAGGTTACGGGTTGCTTGTTATGGTTACGGGTTGATTGTTAAGAAATTTTTGCATGGAACTGATGATGGCTACGATATTCTACAAACCTTATTCCGGGTTACGGGTAACCTTATTGCTAAGAGCCTAAGAGCCTTGTTGCCAAGGTTACGTGTTTGTTGTTTAGATTACGGGTTTGTTGTTAATGTTACGGGTTTGGTTGTCAAGGTTGCCGAGCCACCTTAGGGTGGTTCGGTTCGGGCCGAGTTCCCCCAGGTGCGCTGGTTTTGTCGTTTTTCGTTGTTTCCGGTTGTTTTGTTCGTTGTTCGGTTGTTTTGTTGATTTGTTAACTTGATTCCGGATTTGGCAGTAAACTCAGTCGGTGTTTGAGTTCAAATCCACTTTGTTGGAAGACCCGTCGACTCCCCGAACCACTAACGTTGTTCACATGCAGTTCGTTAGCTTTGTAGCCTCTTTAGTTCGTTTCGTTGCTTGAACGTTCGTCGATTTGTCGAATCATCGCGCCGAGCTGTGTCAAGGGACCTATAAGCAGTTTTATACGCCTACAACCACGTTTTCCCTAGGAGGGATTTGTTCTCTAGCTTTTAGGAGTTGGAAAGAGAGGATGTTGTGCTCATGGGTAATGGACATGCATGCTCTGTTGGTGGTATTGGTATCGTTCGGATTAAGATGCGTGACGGGATGATGCGAGAGTTGGATGAAGTGATGTTCGTTCCATAATTAAAGATGAACATCATTTCACTTGGAGCTTTGGAAGCAGCAGGCTATAGGGTGACCTTGGTAGATGCATGTTTGAAGGTCATATTAGGGTTCATGATTGTGATGAAGGGTGTTAGAATGAGCAATTTGTATTATTTACTCGGAAGCATGGCGATTGATAGGAAGATGATGACTTTATCAGATTCGGGTAGACTGTGGCGATGTTTGATGCTGGGTTATTTGATTGGTAATATTGTGCATAGGTTGTTGAGGAGTGTTTTGACCTACAGTTTGAAGTCCTGTGAACCCATTGGTATGAGAAAGAAGACCGGGGTGGAGTTTAGCACTTCTATCCATCATTCGAGGGGTTTACTGAGGGGTGTTCATTCAGGCATTCGGGGGCCTTCCAATGGAGCATTATTAGGAGGTAATATGTATGTGGTTTCCATAGTTGGGGATTGCTCTAGGCATTAGTAGGTTGCAACCAAGTCCCGTTGGTGTGAAGTCCTAGAAGCCCGTAACAAATAGAGGAAGTGTGTTGGTAGAAAGGTAACCCGACGTTCTGATTATGGTAGGGGTTCTTTCTTGCGTTTGTGCCAAGCTCACGACAATAGGAAACACTTCATTGGTGTGAAAACTTTGAGGTGACGAGGTGAGATGGCAGATTTAGGGAGCTGTTCCTTACTGGAGGAGGATCGATGTTTGATGTCGAGCATTGGCATTGGTGTGCGGGCTACGATATGTTTGGGCCATCTTATGTATAGGTTTTCTACTGCTACATGTAGAGATATGGGATCTGGTGGAGCTGCTTTAGATTTTGGTTTGCGTTGAATGTTTGGCTACCCAGCACTTGGTCACATTGTGGATGTGAGATTTGATCCGATAGCACATTTGGGAGTCAAAGGCGTGTTTGATTATCAAGTATTGATTTTTGACTTTGTTCTGAGTAGATATGTCATGTTTGACTCTCGGCAGGTAGAGAGTGGCGATCAGATCTTTAGGACATCACAGCGGGTGGAGAATGAAGCTACTCCACGTTGGGTGAAGACTCCAGATCATACTGTATTATTTGGGATTCTAGCTAATGTGGCACAGATTGAGAATCATGTTGTTTCGAATGCAGATGATAGGTTGATCGATTCGAGTGTAGCTAATAGATGGAGTCTGGATATGACCATTGGTTCATCTCAGGTGGAGATGTTTGGATTGTTTCAGTTTGGGGCCATTAGAGGTGCTATTAGCTGTAGACTTAATCGTTATATTGGAGAAGAGTTGTGAACTCTTCTAGTAGATTAAGGCATTTGGAGACCATTTGGGTGAACTACATGAAGGCTTGATTCCTTAAGCAAGAGGATACGTAGGCAGTCAATTTTGATGCAGCCGATTTGGTGAGAGACATCGACGTTTGGGAGAGTATTCGCACTCCAGTTTGGGTCTCGACTTGTTATGGATTAAGTCCGTTTTCGTGAATAGTTTCACTTCACATTGGACGCAATAAGTGAGGCATTTGGTTTGATTGGTGTCAGCTCAGTTTTGGAAGAAATTTCACCGAGGTGGAGAATTGAAGAAACTGCGAAGAAGTTTGGTGAAGAACGGGTGTTGGGATCCGCAGGAGTCAGTTTGGGAGCTACGCGGTCGACCACAGCGCAAGGTCGGTCAATCGCGAATGTGCACAGACTCTAGGAGGAGTCTAGATTTGGCGCAGTCGACCGCCACGGTCAACCACGAGACCCTGTAGGATATTTTTGGGCTCTATCGTTTGTCGCGATTGACTGTCACGGTCGACCG